ACCGATTACATACCTACAACCGGTGGGCTCACACCGGGCGGTGGACGGTGGGCGATGGACGGTGGACGATTGACGAGGAACGATGGAATAAGAGAATGCAGAAACTGACTCCAAGTGATCCAACTTGTTTTCCTAACGAGCTTGCCGACGTCGCGCGAGACACAGGCGACAAGCTCACCGGAGGAAAATTCAACACCCTGCGCTCCGCGCCAACTTCGTCGCTGTCGACGCTGCCGGTGCCAAGTTTGTCACCGTGCGCCATCTGCGCCGCGTCGGCTCGACGGAGCGGCACAGCGGTCTCCTGTTCCGCGCGCCACGCCACGCGACGCGACGCCGCTCGAATCGACGCGGCTCGTCGCCTGCTGTGCACCTCAGCGCGACACTGCCGAAACGCCGACGACACGCAAAAACGTAACGGGTTGACAATGAATCACGGCCAAACAAGGCGGTCGTTTGTATTGTGATTTATGGTCGCTCCGACGCTGTCTCGGCGCGCCTTAATTATGATTATCATGGCCGGCTGGCGACTGCCATGTTGTGTCAGGCGACAAATCCATTGCCGGTTGGTGAGTGGGTCAGCACCGGGAAACTGGCGTCATCAGACAGCTCAGTTTTCACCGCCGCCATCGCCGGTGGGTGATGACGTGAATTAGCTCAGTGAGCGGAACGCCATTGGTTGTGATGGGTGACCGCAGTAAATTAATAAAATTTGCGATACCGATTACCGAGCTATTGAAAACGACCGTCACGAGGAATAATTTCAAATTTCAAATACTATTTTCCAATAAGTCATATATTCTTTACGCATGCATGAAAATCATGAATTATGCCATAACCTGGTTAACTAATTACTCTGCCTTCGAATTAACTTTTCTCTATGAAAAAAGCGCAGTAAAAAGGCTATTTTTGACAAAACTAGGTGTTCTTTTCGATTCCCGCTTCCATATTAAATTGGTTGGACTTTACTTAGCTTCCTGTTCAGATAAGTCTGGGGCGGCATTTTCATGATTTCTTTTCTAGTATTTTCCCTTACCTACATTCCATTCCATTCATCCATTCATTCCATTCCATTATATTTTCCAAGGATTAAAATTTTAGGTAATGCGTGCCTAATGAATCAATGTTTTTTTAGATGCACACATGGCTCGTCCTCATTTCAAAATACTCCCGCTGCTGACATGCGCTTTTTTAAAGGGGAATATTTGTTTCTGGTCCCTAAAAAGCTGTTTCTGGCACCTAATTGCTGATCAGCCCCAAAATGCTTACTCGACCCTAATATCTGAATCTGGCACCTAATTGCTTCCACACAGCCTAAAGTTGCCAGATCGTCTAGTTGAACTCCGTATTTGCTGTTTGCTGATTCAGCACCAAAACCAAAACATCCAGCACCTATTTTATTCCACGTTTGCCTACCTAATTCGCGTAATCTTCCTGATTTTATGTATCCTAACAAACATGAACGTTGCATTCGGTGATGTCAAGTGCCATTTTCGCCAGTGGAGATAATGATTAATGCCATTTCTAGCCAAAAGAGAATCACTAGCCAGCTATGGTGCAGCATAGCAAGACGCTCCTATACCAGCCCGCTATGTAGAGATTATTGCACCCTCAGCCATTTTAACGTGAAAAGTTTGGATCCGTCACTTCCAGCCAGGCTCTCAGGTCATAAACTGGAGTAAAGCAAAATGTCAACTCTGAACAGACATGCCACGCAACCGGCCCTCTTTTCAATAGCTTTCTGCAATCATCGTCTGACTCCATCTCGATCAAACGCAGCATCCGGTTTCTACAGGGGCGTTTGACTGACCGGCCACACAATAACCAAAAACAAAATCAAAGCTTCATGCACACATAAGTAAGAAACGGATGAAAAAGGCACAACCACGGCACAACTCTGCGCGGCAAACAACGGACAATGTCCCACGCAAGATCTCGCGTTTCTTCAGCGGCCTTGAACGGAATGAAAACATTACATTTCTTTTTTGGAGCTATTTGATGACGTCAAAAAATGCAATACCCGTTTTAATGGTGAAAATCGAGACAATTACTCACAAAAATGTTTCCCTTTAAGCATTACAAATAAATACTTTGAAATATTTAAATGACATTGTTTTTTTCGAACAAATCAATATTATTTGCTTACTTAAACGTCATATACAATGCTGAGATCACTACGGGGCTGTCTTAGAGTGTAGCTGCACTGGCAACCTTTAGGCTAGACTCCAGGGGTCATTATACCAGAACAACATGATTCTACCAGCCACTAGTTCATTTTTCTACTAGATTGGTGCTACGCTCAGCATTTAGGTGCCAGATTCAGAAAAAAGAGTAAGGCGTACCGATGAATAGGTGCCAGAAACAGCTAATTAAGGTCATTTTCCATGATTGGTGCTGGTATCCACCAAATAGGTGCTGAGGACCAATTTTGGGGCGAGTCAGCTTTTAGGTGCCAGAAATAGCTTTTCTGGGACGCAATTAAATGGCGTCCTTTTTTAAACAGGCATACGAGTACAAGCTTCACGTCATTTCCTGTCAGATATAATTCAATTCCTCGGCATTAGGGCTAATGGATGTATGCCCTCCTGTACCAAAACAAATCAATGCTCCCGCCCAGCGCGATAAGAGACTGCCTCGGTCGGCAGGCGGGTGCAGCCGCACCTGAGCACCACCACGTCACGCAGTGTGCCAGTGATCTGACCATCTCTCCGCGGCGTTTAGGGTTGTCTCGGGTGCCGGGTGCCGACTCAGGTGTGCCCCCGGGCCGTGGCAGACGCCTCTAACTGGCGCCGGCGGCCCGGCAGAGGCGTCCGCTCGGATGCCGCCTTCCGGGCCGGCGCTCTCTGATGTGGACGACCCGAGCTGGCGCCACGAGACCGGTGTCGCCGGGGGCTTCTGATAGCCGAACCGCCGCCGCCGCCGCTACCGAGCCGCCGCCGCCGCTCGGTCAGCGCCGGCAACGTCCCCGCCCTGTGGTCACCTTACCTACCCGACTGGACCTGGATAGTGGATATACATACTTGACCATGCAAAATGCGTCAGAATTTATTATTTCTAAACTGAAAATATGAAAATTTATAACGGTCATTGGTCACATCAAAAGTACCTACTCTCTCCGCAGTCATGAAATCGCATGCGCGACTGCGAGAGCTGCGAGAGTCTATTTCAATCAAGAGTACTAGATTCCAATACATGGAAGCACGCTCGCATCAATCGCAAGCACCTCCCGCATGCGATTGGTGCGGACAGAACGAAAATGTATTTGAATAGGCTCTGAGCCCATGCGATTTCCTGAATGCGGAAAGAGTCTCTTTCTGCAGAGGCCTCTTGCACCAATGCTTGGATTATTTTGCATCGCATACCCAGTCCAAGTCTCAAATGTAACAATTTGCGTGCAAAATTTAGCAAGCACATGTAGGATTATGTATTGGGCTATTGCAAACAAATTTACCACTGTTAGATTAGCTTATTCTGAAACCGGTTTTTCGATTTTACCTAGCTAGGTAGTTTGGTGCAAGAGGCCTCAGCTTTAAGATTGCCATTTATGAGTTCTCTTCGCGCTCGTACGGATAAGTCACACCGGCGCGGCGTTCCCGGCCCGTCGCCATTGTTCCGTGACGGACGGAAAAAGATTTCTTTCCAGGCTGCTCTTAGTATCCCAATATTCTTATGGTTTTTGCATGACATCCTACTCCATAGCGTTTGGAAGCTTATTTAAGCATTCTCACTCATGCATTGGGAGGCTATCGTACATGTCCTCTGCCAATTTTCATGCGTTTTGTCCCACATGATAACAAAGCTGAAGCCTGAAAGACTTTTGTCTCGGACGGTATGGGAGGCAAATGTGGACAGGGCAGAGTGGACAGCTCCAAAGTCCATAAGTTGTTACTACTTGGACAACAAACGCTATAGATATCAAAATGTATTGTAATGCGTTTATCTCGGCCACTTCTCGGTTTCATGATTACAAAAAAAAACAATTAAATGTTTCTCAATGAATGTCCTTTCATTGTTTACCTACGGGTAAGAAGATGACAAAATAAGCATCCATCTTCATTTCAATCTTGTCACCATCAGATACTTGATAGTCGTACGTGAGGCAACTATCCGGTTTCTGATATCGGGGCAAAGAGGTCGTCGCTGTCCGCTTTGCCCGGGTTTGGGGCAAAGTGGCAAAAATGCATAGGTTTAAAGTTATCATTATCTCCCATATGTGAACGCAATTGGAACTGAAACGTAGTTGAAATTGAAGGCAGTTTAGTTAATAAGGATCATATTGGTATGAGCAACATCTTCCTATGTTTAAAAATGAAACGTCGGCATCGAAAAAAAACATGACGGTGGCCATTTTGCCCCAGTCTCCCTTACACAGCAAGCCTGCATAATTATGCCATGCAATTTATTCCGTAAGGCATATCTAATTGGTAATTTCCTATCACTGCTCACTGCTCAGTACTTAAATAAGCGAGTGCTGATGCTGTTCAGGCATTACTGTTCTCATCTTCGGACTTAAATCTTAAGTGAACAACGATTCAGTAGACCATGGACAATAGATGTCGCTGTCGGCTCCGACGAAGCACTCGCTCCCTGAACCATCTAACCGCAGGCTGTTGGCAGCCCTTTGTCGGCCGGCCGCACATGTCAGAAACTTGTGACGGCCCACCGGGGGGAGGAGGGCTCGTTTGCCGCTGGCCGAACTGACAAACTCTCTGCGTGGCTGAGTTGAGCGTTTGGTCGCCGGTCGGCTAACTCGCTGACTTATGGTCCAGTGGGCTCTGTCCCGAAAAGGTCTATTGTGTGGCATATCCCATAGGTCACGCAGTCGACTGCACTCTCAAAAGCGTTGGAGTTGACTTCATGGCAATGGGCTGCGTATCGTACTTGATTTGTTTTATGTGGAGTCACTAACTCAAGCGAAATTGTGTTGAAATCTGTCTGCAACCATTAGTTGTACGCACTTTTCAACTCACACTCACACGTCATATCTTAAAAAAAACTGCATGTAATCGTATATGCATAGGCTATATATTTCACAAGATTAAAAATCACCAGTTTTCTTGAACCAGTTTTCTACCAACGCCGCTTAATAAAACAAAGCTCATTACTTTCATTAGCTACACAGGCTCCTCTTCACTCAGATTCCTCACGTGGGGCGAGGTCATGAAATTGTAATCTGCCATGCATCAGTAACCTGCAACAGCAGACTCTCACATTGTCCGCAGACCCGCGCCTCTCACTATATTTCTAGATAGTTATATACCGACTACAGACACATGTTAGTTGGGATTGCACTCCGTTGCCACCACTCTTTCCTCGGCAAATAACAAAACAGCAGCCCTTGCCCATAGGAACAGGACCGAGGTCTTTGGCGGGTCAGGTCAAAGATCATCAACGGGTCACCGCCAGGTCACCATCCCCTCCTGTCATCCTGACCCGGTCACGTGTTACGTCATTCGACATCTGAGACAAGAGAGAGCGGACATCTTTGCAGCTCGTTTGCTGATTGGATACAGAGCAAATTCAGACTCAGCTGAACTGAATCATTACAAAGAGCCAACACCAAATCCTTCAGGAACAGCCATTTGGGATGGTGTTACAGAAAGTCGATCTACGTATTAAAACGATCAGCTGATACTGCCCGATCTGTGACGTCATTAATGTTCCCATCGGAGGTTCACGATGCGTCAGACCGTGCACGTTAGAGCGACCATCAACACAATCACTGTCGACCCTGTGATGTCCACATCAACGTCCATCACCCAGCGTCATGACTTGAGTCCGACTCGTCTGCTGACGTCACTGCTGGGCGTTCGATGACGTCACGGGCGGTCGGAGCGCGTGCAGGCCAGCCAGACCCGCGGCGAGGTGGTTGGACGCTGCCAGACCGTGCATCGGGGGCAGAGGTTGGGAGGGAGGCAGAGGGGTCCGGCCGACTCCGCCGGAGGCCGGGCCGCAGCCGGGTAGCATGTGACCCGACTTCTCAAACTGCTGGTGCTGACTGCGCACCGCGAACCTGCCGCCAGAGGTCACAGGTTAGCCGGGACAGGTCACGGGTCACAGCGGGCAGACTGGTATTGGCTGGCAGGTCGGGATGATTGAAATGGGAGCACCAGTCGCGTGGGTCAGCACAGGCAGATCAGATGGATGAGCGGGGTGTGCAAATTTGCATGAGCGGCATTAGGAACGGCTTCGCAATACCTGTCGAAATTATTTAGATTGGTTGACAAAAAAAGCACAGTTCAGCGATGTCTGACTTTTGAAAGCAGAAACAGCAAATTGTTTCCGCTTCAATCGCAACCCTCTTGGAGAACAAAATACGTTGCTTATTGCACCCCGGGGCACCGCCATACCGCTATGCTGCAGGTTACATGTCAAGGGTCGGGCCTCGGGGTCACTCACCGGTTGACGTGTACGGGGATCGGGACGACGATCTTGGTGCCGCCGCCGCCGCCTCCTGCCGCGCCAGAACGGCTGGAGGTGGTCAGGCCCGCCTTCACACGCTTCCACTTGGCTCGCCGGTTCTGGAACCAGATCTTCACCTGTCGCGAACGACAGAGAGAAGAGGATGTGACAAAGACACTCACTTACCGGAGTTGTCAGTGTACACTGTACAGAACGACGGAGAAAATGCTTTGGTGCATCGGGCAGCCAGTGCGTGCAAGACTTAACTACGGTAGCTAAGGAAAAAGTATGGAAAGTATAGATATCGCTCAAATGGACATTATCACAACGTTCAGTTTATACTTTTTAAATGAATGGATTCAATTTTTCACACCTCTTCGATGAGTTTTAAACCTGATACACACTCAACACCGTGCCAGCAGGGACGTGGCTCACGCACTCCCTGTTCGGCGTTCAGCCTGGCCGTACGTACCTGCACCTCGGAGAGTTTGAGCGTGTGCGCGATCTGGGAGCGCTCGGTGAGGCTGAGATACTTCTTGCTGTGGAACTCCTTCTCCAGCTCGAGTAGCTGCTCGGAGGTGAAGGCCGTCCGCCGCCGCCGGGCCTTGTTGCCATTCATGCCGCCCGGCTGCAGACCGGGGAAATGTTAGAATGGTAAAAAAATATATATCAGAGTAGGCGGCAGCTCATTTCGTCAGTGTTGGGTGCACGAGCATTTGCTGTGTTTCCTGTTTGTATCAAGTCTCTTATCATAATATTCTAGTCATAATTCAAGCCATTTTTTATTATTAGGTAGGTAATTCAAAATGAAATATTTTGAAGTTTTCATAGTTCGGTTATGACTCGATTTTCCTAGCGACATATGTATGTGACTGCCAAGTGCCAGCCACATAAGACCGCCGAAGAGCAGCTTCATCCATCTGTGCGTCTCACCTGATGTTCGGTGGAGCAGTCCATGCCCTCGTCACCCTCCTTATCCGAGCCACCGTCTGGTGAAGAAGCGCCGGGACTTAGCTCCCGGTCAATGTCTGAAACAAGAGAGAGAGGGTTCGAGGTCAGAGAGAACCTGGCTAGAGAGGAGGCTCCAGAACTCAGCTTCCGGTCAATGTATGGAATGCACGGAGGTCCGGAAGTCAGAGAGGTCACGAGAGGAAGTGGGAGAGTCCGGGACACAGCTTCCGGTTAATGTCTGGAATGTAGCCAAATCGGGAGGTCAGAGAGGTCAGGAGCAGATGCCCAGAAACTCATCTCGTTTCGTGTCCGGAATGTAGAGGGATGTTTGACTTCAAAGAAGTCGCTACTCGTGATGGGTGAGGCACTGCAACATAAGAGCCACGGAAGGTGCGCCTATGGAGTATGGAGAGCGAGAATGGAATAAAGCATAGCCTCAGCATTGTTGGCAAAAACGAGTATAACAAAGGCAATATCTTTAATAGTTCTAGAAAGAAATACATCAAAAACCTTATGAGCTTGGAGTGGAGTCATGGTCGGCTCCCACCAGACGCGTAAAAACAAACGCGCATTGTGCACCTAGATAAGATTAAGGGCTAGGCCAAATTTTCTGCGGTTACAGGGCAAGCGCGACAAGCTCTGAGTTCAAATGTCACCAACTAGGAACCTCTAATTGCTCTTCATCCATCTGTATGAAGGCATTGGTATAATTCAATACAAAACAATATGTTTGCTTCGTTGCGAAAATATTATCCCTAACCTACCTCAGCATCGAAGCCACTTCACTGATCCTGAATAAATAACTGAGTGCGATGGCACCAAAGCAAAGGTCGGGCACCGGTATGTATGAACGCTGCGCGGCCGCTCGTATCGGTGTCGAGCGAGGCCGCTGTGGCGCCTATCTCATTAGTCGGCATGCATAAGTGATCGTGGGTCAATACTGCGGGTGCGTCCGACGCCTCGGCACGCCCACCCCACCGACACAACCCCACCTCGCCCTGTCCCACCCCACGACACAACCCCCACCGACACTAACCGACCCCACCGACACAACCCCCACCTCGCCCTGTCCCACCCCACGACACAACCCCCACCGACACTAACCGACCCCACCGACACAACCCCCACCTCGCCCTGTCCCACCCCACGACACAACCCCCACCGACACTAACCGACCCCACCGACACAACCCCCACCTCGCCCTGTCCCACCCCACCGACACAACTCCCATCACGCCACCACGGCTCGCCCCGCCCCACCGACACAACCCTGCCTATAGCCCTGTCCCACCCCACCGACACTAACCGACCTCAGCCCGCCCCACCCCACCCTTCCGGCCCCAGCCTAACGCGCCGCCTCAGACCGTCCCACGGCTACGACGCAGCCCCACCACGGCTCGGCACATCCCAGACACAACCCCATCTACACAACCCCACCGACACATAATCAACCTCAGCCCACCCCACTCTACCGACACAACCCCACCACGTCACCACAACCCACCCCACCCACCGACAAAACCCACCACGTCGCCTAAGACCACCCCGTCCTCCTGGCGCAGCTCTTACCTTACCACCGCCTTCCCCTCTCTACCAACACCTGCCGGCAGCCTGTGCCTTTGACATCAGCTCTTTTCTTTCAATTTTAGTTTTTTTTTTCAATCCTTGCAAGTCCTGCCCCCATCGCTTCCATCTAAACTCAGCTTCCCTTTAGCCCCGGTCTAAGCTCTTTCTTTCCGGTCACACTTTTCGCCTAAGCCCCAACCGACGCTGTCCCTTCCTTTTAAAGTCCACTCAAACACCTCAGTTAAGCCCGCTCCGCCATTTTCTCAAACAGGCACTTGACGTTTCACCGATGTGACACCGTTTAGAATGCAAGTACTGGGAATTGGGATCAATGCATGTGATGATGAGGTCGATTCTAATTGCAGTCTGAAGCCTGTGGTATTGGAATTTATAATTGATAATGCAGATAATTATCATTAACTGATCAAAACTTAACGATATGGCGTGGTACCGAGCAACACTTCGATACACATCTACACGTTCGAGTAGTTAAGCTACTCGTAAACGTTTTTAAGCTATTCGTAAACGCATTAAACCAGATAGGTTCCACTTAATTTCTGCAACATATCAACAGGTAAAATTTCAACGCCGGCAATTGCTCTCGAGTGATTACCAACCTTTCCTGTGAAGTTGCTGATTTGCTGTTAATTTGCCAAAATCAGCTCCGCGGTGTGATAATTCTAGGTCTGGCCGGCCCAGCTATGCCGTGACGGCAGCTCGGTAGCTCCAGCTACCAACTGGGCCGGCGCCAGCAGCCGCCAATTAATAAACAGCAAATTACGCAGGCATTTTCCGGCGAGCCCTGTGTCTAATTGGTTGTGTATTAGCTCGTGCGCCGGTGGCGTGCGGCGGGCGGCGCGGCGCGGCGCGGCACGCTAGCGCGCGTGCGGCGGCGCGGAGGCACGGCTCGTGCCCGCGGCTCACTTCAAGCGCCGAGCGATGGTATCAAAGAGTGGCGGACGAACGGCGAACGGACGACAGACGGGCGGACGGCGGGAGTCGGGCGGGGATGGGGAACCTGGCTGGTTGGGTTATGGCTTGTGATTTCTATCGGTTAGTGGAAGATTGAATAGACTGAGATTACTGCGTTTGGCTCACTTACTTGGGTTTCATTACACCACTTGCAGTGTCAATATCAGGCATTAAATGTACGCCTCTGCCTGTGTATGCAGACTGTAGAGGTCTATATGTGCATCAGACACCTAAAACGAAATTTTTGATCAACGACTTTTATCCACCAACATCATTTAAAGGTAGTGTGCCACCTTTGAAAGATTTCCCATTTTATTTTTCCTAGGATAAGAAGCTTCTGTTTTTACCTAATATCGCAAAAAAAAAAATCAAAAATGGGCCTGGAATAGTGCCTTTTTCGCCTAAAAGTTTATCGGTTTTTAGATATGTATAACAACTGTAGTGGGCTCACCTGCAAACAGGCGTCGGGCAACAATCGCGAATGCGGCGCACTTGTGACAATAAGCAAAGGTCATTATAGTGTTACGACCATACGACGTACGGGAATGAGTTATCAGCTGTCTAATCGTAGACAACACAATGTCGAGCCTTAAACTGTAAGCCCGTATTGGTATTGTTTCTTTTATTTGGCTGTCGAACATTATTTATGGTTTGAAATATGATTTTATGTAAAATAATTGATATGAAAAAGCCGTCTTATAAGTTATGACCCCATTTCACCACACGCAAGTGGCAGAAATGACCATGATCAGCTGACGCATTTTTCTTGGCCGAAGTCAGAGCGCGCAGCCCGACGCACCACCACCGCACCACAAAGTATGAGCAGAAGCCGCGCCCAAAGCCAGGGCCCCGGTAACGTGAGGTAGCCGAGTCGGGGCAGCGTGCGCTGACCCAAGCCGGGGCCGCAGCTTTGGGCGCGGTCTACCGCATCCCCGCGGGCAGCCCCGGGCTATCACATGACACCGGGAGGCCGCGCGGCTCCGGCTTGGGTCAGCGCACGCTGCCCTGACTCGGCTACCTCACGTTACCGGGGCCCTGGCTTTGGGCGTTGTCTACCGCACCACCTAACAGGCGTGTTCGAAACCGCAGGAGCTGATGATGAACGGGTTTATCGAAACTTGATTGGATGAGCATATCGGTAATAGCGATTTCAGTGTGTGCATTTATTGTTCATAGTGGTGTGAAATGTGGTTGGGGTACGACCGACAACCCGTCGGGGCGAATTTCGCACTGGGGTACTCAAAATTTGAAGAATTTAAGACGTTTCCATGAGTTTTGAAGGTATGGATAAGTTCTAAAAATCCGGTTCTCCTTATCTGGGCCATTAACTCCATACGGTCCAAGAAAGCTGGCACACTACCTTTAAAGATGGTGATACTGCCGCCGATCATCGCAGATACAGCTCTATCCATAGACTTAACGGACGCTCTCCTGAACATACGAGTATTTTGTTGTGTCTAGCCACTGCTCTTGTTCATATAGGCGGCGGAACGGGGAGGGCATCGGGGCACCGTGCCTCCCCCCTTTGATTTTGGCTTTTAACATTAGCCCTATGGGCGTTGCATGGAAAGAATGGGACCAAAAGTCGGCAGTGCCGCCCCCCCCCTTAATTGAGGGTGTTCCGCCGCTACTGCCATTGTTGTGTTCCCCTTCAGAAACAAGTGGGCCTACTAAGGTCGGAACTCGGAAATGGAACATATTTGTTCTGTCCTCCAATTGCAATGCTACGTTGAATTATATACCGATTGCCCCGTGTTGATTGTCATTCAGGCTGGCACGACGTGAAAGAGGAGGCAGAAAAACGGTAGCAATGGCGGAAAAGTCCAAATGCAGCAAGATACCTTTTTTGCAGTTTTTGTGCTGACACACGTTGCTAGGAATGCTCGTCAAAACAGGAACTACGCCTCTTTGTCATTTTTCTTTTGCCTTAAAGGGACTATCCCACCTACTAAAATGTTGTTAAAACCAGTTAAATTGTGCCCGACTTTATAGATTGGATGACCAGGAACACGGTTCTGGCATTTATTTTTCATTAAACATCTTAGGCTTCCCATATTCCAAACACAAACTTTCAAATATGTGACGTCACAGCCCAAAATTACCTCCTTCCCCAGGCCACATTACTGTCATAAAGCTGATTCTTTTTACTCTGTAGGCACCACAACAAAGTTCAGACCAAGTTTTAAGCGATTATTCAACGAACAAACCCATTTAAATCAGAATGACTAAACGAGGTGACGTCACACTAACGGTCGCTCCATGTTGAAGATAGGGCCTTGTACAAGGCCCATTTTCAAATGAAGGGAACGAATTTCTTCAACACCAAGAGGCCGCGGGGGTTGCAACCTAGATAGATAGTGGTTTCTGAACCTCGCCGCAAACTTGGCTATCTCAACTCAACCCCCATGTTAAAGGTGGGATAGTCCCTTTAAGGTCTATAGACAAGATGCTTCGTTAAAACTCGATTGCTGGACGAGTCCCGGCGAATTGGAGCACTGCACAATGCTTTTATGAAGGTGTCTGGTCTAGAAACGAGCAACAACTGATGATTTGTTATATAATATCAGATGAGGCTTTGATGTTGAAACTATCATATCCTCCCACACAAGAGTATAAAAGATGTCATTACATATTCGCCGATCGGTATTATTTGAATTGGTAATGAGGAATAACTAACCCAATTATGGCAGCATGTTCCAAAAATGTAGAAAATAATGAATTATAAACATTTTGCGATGGGTGTTTAGGAAGCATGCATTCCTCCCCCCCCCCCCCCCAAAAAAAAAACAGACGATAGTCTAAAGAATATTCAAACTCATGCAATCTCCGGGAGCTTAGAAAACATAAAGATTCCAGTTACTCAAGCTCGCATTGAAAAATTGCCACTGCCCATTATGTAGGTAAGCGTTTCCACAGCATTAAAAAAAAACTGGCCTGACGTCCTGGGTGAACCCGCTATCAGCGCTTCTTGCCGTGCGTGTATGCTTGATTTGGGATAAAGAGGGCAAGTATGTGCATAATTAATGTTGGACACATTTGTTTGTCGATAATCAGTTCATTATAGTGCCCGGCGAATCTTCTTCATGTGCTCTCATGTGGGGAACAGAGGTTCACGCTCATGAAATCATCGCGCGGTTCCAAGACTGATTGAGTTGCTGCCAGCCGATTATGCCGGCTAACCGATTAGAGATGGGTCATATGCACCCCGGGAGTAGTAATCCAGCATTGTTGGGCTTTTCTAGAATCTACATCATGCGCTCACAATGGAAATAAATGATTTTACGTGAACAGCATATCTAAAGAATAAATGTAGTTCCTAACTCGATCTGATCATGAATTATCGGAAACGGATGTAAAAACTGATTTTTTGAATAAGCATTCACTTGATATTTCAAAAGGTTAGAAAATTGCGTACTTCCTAGCAGGTAATCGGGGCATGAACACCAAAAATCAGCATTTGCCTGCATGAGAATACACTCACATTTCCACAGACAGATTATTTAGCGGAATTCCGCTTACCGTGTGGCCGCGGTGAGTGTGCGGGTGGCTCCCTGGGCTCGGCCTGCTCGCGCGGCTCCCTGGGCGGCTCCCGCGGCTCCTCGTGCTCCTGTTTGAGCCGGAGCGCGCTCTCCACGTACTCGCGTCGCACCTCCTCCAGCTGATCAGCCAGCAGGTCCAGTTTCCGGTCGGCCTGCCACCTCCTCTCGCCGGGGTTCAGGCCGGCGGCCGGCGGCGGCGGCAGTGACGACTGCAGAGACACGGGGATAGACGTCTGCAGCGGTGGCGGCAGCGGCTCGCCCGGAGGGTAGCCGGAGGGTGGTTTCAGCTCCCCGGGACACGGGTAGCCGGGGAGGAGGCCACCCTTGAGCGGTTCGTCCCGCGGCGGCCGCAGCGCGGGGGTGAGCAGACCCATCGGGAACAGCGGGTGGGCGGCCAGGGAGAAGAGGGGCGGCCTCGGCTGCAGCAGGTAGGACGAGTACAGCAGCGGCAGCGACAGCGTCGGTACCGGCGCCGAGCCGCTGACGGCAGAGCTGCTCAGCAGAGAGTCGATCGTGAACGGCGCCGGCGGCGCGTCACGGCTGGACGTCATCGTGAGCAGCAGGCACACCCACTTTCAGCCGCGGATTTACAGACTACTGGTGCTCGCTCCGGCCGCCGCCGCCGCGGCAGCCGCTCACGTCACGTGACTCCGCAGCGAGCTCTCATTGGTCGACGGCCGATTATCATCAGCGTCCGTCGGCGGCGGTAATCGACGGACGAAGCTGATTGGTCGGCGCCGCGCTGGCTCCTCCCAGCCAACTTCGCCATAATTTGCGGGTTAATAGCGGCGGATGGTGATATCCAGTTGATTATGATGTGATGTCGGCCGCTAATCGCGTGCTGACGCGTCTCAAATGGGGCAGCAGCTCGCCGGTCAGGTCGTAGGCCGGCCCCGGGAGAAACCGGGGAGAATCGGAGGGTCAGCAAGAGCAGGAAGCTTTGCACCCGTCGTGACTCGTACGCCTAACCTTTGAAGTCGACTTAAGATATCGTTTGCTCCTAACTACTGGATAATCGGTTGAGTAAGAAATCAATAAGTTCTCAACTTGTTTTGCAGCTACATATGTCCTATTTCCATCAAACAGCTCAAAATATCGGAAAAGTAAAGCTTGTCTCCTCTTGCGTATTGAGCAATGTGCATGTCTTACCTTGATCCTATTGTATTCATAAAAAAACGCCAACAGGTATAACACGCACTTACAGGCACAGTTATAAACTGAGCTAGCCGTTCCGTCAAACTTGTCATCATTCGATTGAGTTATATAGAGCAGTCTGTAATTGAATTTATGCGACAGGCGATAGCCAATTGGCGTTAGAAAAATGTTGAAAAGCATTACGAAGTACCGCGGCCAATTTCAGGTTAGCTTAAAGGTCAAATAAAAAAGGAGCGAGGTCATTCGATGTCGGAATTCCATGGCTTTAATTTTGTTTTGCAAAACAGCTTGTCAACTAATGAGGCTACGCCTGCGTAAATTATGGTTCGACAGAGGGCTTCTCCACAGCTTTTCACTGAGCCTGCGGTCAAATTCAACATCTACCTATTAGTCAACGACTTGGCAGTCAGAGTAAAAAAAAATCAATGTAAGCACTATTGTGGAAATAGCTGGTTTTCTACAATTTCTTTGAGCCACTGAGCATAATAAGATATCAACCTACATGATATCGGTTGGCCGTAATTTTAAATCTATCGTCGAGACGCGTCCAAATTTATAATGTATAAACTTACAGGTTTACGAGAAAATGTGGCCTTATATCAAAGTAATGCATCTGAAAAGGCCTTTCTCGCTTTTCAGCGTCAGTCGATCGGTGTTTCTTAGGTGAGCGAGCACATCCCCGCCGTTCTTTCTCTCCGGGAGAGCCTCCATTTCAGGATATACTTGGCCTTGAATCCCAGTTAGAGGGTGGCATGGGCATTGGGCAATTGTCCCTGTGCCTCGATGTGGAAAAGTCTACCGCCACGGCAAGGATTAAATAAAAATTCGGACGTTTCTGAATCATATTCGGTTCCAGAGAGATGGTCTTGGACGCTGCAGTCGAAAAGATTCTCCTTTTTTCCAAAGCTCGTTAACGCTCGCCTGATCTATCGCTTTTCTACGACGCCGGGCCGAATGGGGCTGTAGTAGCGCTCGCAACTGTGAGAGCATGCCTTGTGTGAGAAGGCGCTTACAGTATGTAGTGCTGTACCGAGGTTCACGTGTAAGAAGTTACGTAGCTGCCGCTAGATGTCACCACAGTTTGCGCCTGAAGGTATACTGTACCGCGCATTCGCGTACCTATGTTGTATCGCTGCCGCTAGATGTCACTACAGTTTGCGCCTGAAGCCATACTGTACCGCACGGTGCACGTCTCCAAAGCTATGTCGTACATATCACTGCCGCTAGATGTCACTACAGTTTGTGCCTGAAGGCATACTGTACCGCACATCTCCAAAGCTATGTCGTATCGCTGCCGCTAGATGTCACCACAGTTTGCGCCTGAAGATATACTGTACCGTATTTCATGGGAGGAACCCTTCAACTAAATCTGACTGTGCAAAAAAGATGTCCGTTGTTCGAACTTGTAGATATTTCGCCAAATAAATGTGTGATCTGTAACTTTGCCATTTTGCTCCTCATTGATCATAGACCTTCACGAAAAAACGAGTGTGTGCAATAACGCTCGTTTTTTTTTGCAATAACGCTCGTAGCCATTTTGTTAGTCTCAGGTCAGTGGTCACCCAATGACTTCTGAGGAGTGAAGTCAGGTTAAGTGCCCCAAGGCATGGATTCATCAGCTTTTGGTGAATAACTTCGCCAAAAATTGCTGCATAGCCGCTTCACATAAACAATCCGATTTCCGACTGCCATTTCCAGCCGGCACAGATGTTGGCAATGAGCACCAATCGGCCATACGAGATCATCAGCGCTCAATGATGTGTCCCGACTCCCCGGCTCCCCCTTCCCCTGCCGACGGGCGGCGACCCCGTGTGACTGGGAGCACAGGGGGAGGACCAGGGGAGCCGGGAGGACGCGGCGACCATCATCGATCTCGGAGGTAATTGGCGATCATCGGTCTCACTCGCGGCCTCGGAGAGCGACGGCGACACGGCCTCGCCAGATTGGAGCACGGCTCTAATTAGCCATCAGTCTCGGCGCCGGCCGGCCACGGGCCACACTGGTGGAGACGGAGTAGAGCGGGACGGGACGGGATAGAGCGGGGAGAGACCGGGATAGAGACGGGGTGGACGGAGACGGGACGGGACGGAGATGGGACGGAGGCGGGACGGAGACGGGACGGAGACGGGACGGAGACGGGACGGAGACGGGACGGAGACGGGACGGAGACGGGACAGAGACGGGACGGAGACGGGACGGGACCAGAATGGAGACAGGACGGGACGGGAAGGAAAACGGGACGGAGCCGAATGCGGCAGCGTTACGGAACCGGTCGGTCGTTCAATGTCTATACTCATGGGAAGTCCCAGCCTCAGGGATGAGACTGATGAGTGCTGCACATACATGAAGCTAATATTGGTTGGAAAGTTTAATTAAGAATCTGGAAATTTTGAACAGTGATGATTTGAATGAGTGATGATATTTGCAGTTAGCGATATCGACTGCAAAATCTAAAACTTTTTGAGTCTTTACGGAATCGACATATTTGCGGGATAAAAGCATATTTGAAGACTACATTTACACATTTCCTACCAGCTGCTGTACAATATGCTGTTGTTCTCATCCACAATAGTCTTCTCGACTTATTGGTCTAAGCATGGGTCCATGGCGAAATAGCAGGATCGAAGGTCTCGAAGCTTGACTTCGCTATCGTCGCGTCCTGCCAGCCCGCCTAAATCCGTTCAGCGTCCCTGGTAGCGGGCCTCAGCGCCATTTCCATCTGAAAGCGGCCCGGGCCAGAGGTGCTGGCAGTAAGCTGGTGGGCGGGGCCGAGTCAGCCGAGTCGGCGCCGGTCAACAATACATGGCGCCACCTGGCTTCGACACAGTGCCGCCCCTCATTGTGCACGCCCATAGGAGTTGCCATATGGTGTGGCATTAGCACCAAAACCTTTGAAATATTCGTTTTCCAGTGCTGTCGGAGTCGGTCGCCGACAAACCCCATAAATCCAGCAGGTGAGCCGACTGATGGGGTCGGCCGAAATGCGATAGCTGAACCATGGATTGAGCTAAAACGGGACGTGTAGTGCAAAATGAAACTTGGGGCTGGGTGGCCTGTCCTCTGGACGGGCTCAGCCCCGGTGACTCACTAGGGTGCCTGCCCAGACCAATGTCTCCCCCTAATTCCTATCATCCTTCCGGCTCTGCAATGGTCTTGTCAGACCGAAAGGGCCTAACCCAACAAAACAATAAAAAATGAAAAGTAACGGGGCGTCTGTTTGGGCTGATCACACAAAAGTGTTTCATAAACTGAAGGCGTTTGTTTTGTTTTTATATAAACAAGTGAGTTTCACTTATTATTTAGCTCGTAGCCTATATCATTTCGGGATAGACATTCATGGCTTTCTCTGCACTGCTGTGGTTGCTATCTCAGGCCTTGGCGGTCGTGGTCGACCTCTTATCGACGGCGGTGGTGCTAGGCTGAGGGGTGGGATCGGCGCTGACCGCCTCTCGTGCCATCTCATCCTGCACCTCCGACATGATCTCCGTGAAGAGCACGTCCCACGCCCATGGCTTGTCGGGCTCCTCCACGTCACGGCCGTCCTGGACGCACTTTGCAATCAGCTGCAGGTCCACGCCGTCCAGCGTCATGAACGCCGGCCTCTTCTGCAGGTCCTCGTTCAGCTCCTGCATGGTGGCAACGCGATTGACGGGTGCCATGGGCGCCGGCGCCACCTGCAGCGCCAGGTCCTCCTCCATCACCTCGTCCAGGTCGGGGATCATCGGGATGGCCTCGGCGTCATCGTCGTCCCAAGTAGTCACCCGCGGCTGCAGGTCCGTCTGGCTGTCCGGGGCTTTGGCTGCCGGCTCGTCAAAGTCCGCTCTGCGACGGCGCCCGATGCCCTGAGGTGCTGCGGATGGGTCCGGCGCCGCGGGCGGTGGACCCTGCGGGGGCGGTCCGGGCGCCGGCGGGGCGCCGGCGGCGGCAGCTGCAGCAGCTGCAGCAGCTGCCTCAGCCTCCGCCTTTCGCTTCTTTTTCCCCATTTTTAAGTATCTTTAATCACAACAGGGTCAAGCTATCGATCCTTCAAGTTCTTAAAAATATAAAACTGCAAAAAAGACCGAGACACAGAATACGCTTTCGCCGCTAAGGCATCACTAGATTCTAAGTATTTTTTTTAGCACTGAACCACACGGACAATCAAGTAAAATACGATACACATTACACGTGCACAATGGTCGACAAGACTTTCTTCAAAAGTTGCATCGCACAAACTTACTTTACGCCATGCATATTTGGAAGAATGTTTTGTCGACCATTTTACACGTGTCCCTATCGTAGTTACCATGATTCATGTTCGTTTGGTGCTTCAATTGCATGGGGCAAGATATACGATTATTCACCTGGCGGATAAGCTTTCCAATATATTAATTTTGGTAGGTGCTATTGGAATACTGTGGAAAAAAAATCGAACGGAATGTCAAGATTGGAGGGCTTGGAAGTGCTGATGCTAGAAACCATACTTGCATGCTGACAGTGGCTGTAGAGTGTAGAATGGTACCGTGTCATCTTTTAACAGCTCCTGATAAGCTACTAAGCTACTGCACTGGAAATGCGCCAGCAGGTATATTATTCGGTGGTTTTGGCACGTCGGTGCTATCCCACCGCCACCACGTGCAATAATCGCGATCATCGGTCTCATACGGGAGCAGGGGGGGGGGGAGCAATATCTCGCGCAGCACCTCTCACCCATAGCCAGCCATTTCTCCCCGCCTCAACCCCGTGAATTTGTCCTGTGAAGTCAGGTATGTAATATCTTGAATAACAGCAGCCCAAATGAGTTAAAAAGTCCTGAAGAGAGCGGTGAGATGTGTCGTATCTCCACAGACACGTGCCCGAAACTACGATAAATAAACTACGCTCTGACTTGTTGCACTGTGCTGTAGCTCGCCCAATTTGTGAATATCGGTGTGGACGGGGGGACGCATTCCCCATGCTATCACGACTTCAAGGCTACTCTAAACGTGCAAACGAGAAAGGGACGTTATTTGGTAAATCCACACATTATGCGCACCTGAAACGGACGTGCGCACGTTTTGGCGGACTCTGTACGCTGCCTAGCACAAAGCGTTACATTTTGGGCTCGATAAAGCAAAGGGACTCGCTAGTCGCCCATGAAAGCGTGCAGTGAGACGATCTGATCGCACGAACGACCTCAGAAGCCCCGAAGTCGCTCTTTGCGATCGCTTCATGTCAGCCTCACGAGCCAACGAATGTAATGTGTAATATCCTGAACAAGCAGTGAGACTTATGGACCATCAGAGGCCAGTTTGCGTCTCCAAGAGTTCAGCGTGGCTGCTGAAAAGTTGTGTGCAGTTTATTACTTTCAGAAGCCCTGTGTTATTCCATAGGTTCTGTTGTGTGTTAGACCTTGCAGTTTTATCTTTCTGGGCTTATGACCACCGCGACTCGAAAGTCAAAACGCCAAATTTCCTATCGCCGATGATGAGCTCCACTCCCTCATCTAGCATATGCCGTGAGCAAAACCTCACAATCCTCGTTAACTGGGAGTGTTTGGCTGTACTGACGAGGGGAGCGGCGCGCGGCGGTGGGCGGTACCCAGACTACCACCACCGCCGCCCGCGGTCGCCGATGACGCATTCACTGCGCCGTAGCGCCAGCGACATAATAGAATCTAGATTTATGTCACGGTCCATTTGCCGGTTGCGGCCTTTTAGCCGGCATTGTGACGGATCGTGGAGGCTCCATTAGGTGACCGGCCGAGCGGGCTGGCCGCCGCGCGATCGATCATCACTTCTGCCGACCAACCGACCGACAGCAGACGCCATCCGCCGCCGCGCCGGCTCGTCATCGGCGGCTCTTAGCGCGTCATCGTGGTGTGCGGTCCGCGTCACTTCCGCTGCGGAAGTGGTGTCTTCCGCGCGTTCTCCGCGCGTCTTCCGGACGGCGGCGGGCTGAGACGTGACAAAGAGGTGATGCGGGAGGGGAGCGCGGACGTCACTCGGCGAGCCAGGAAGCTGCTCTATCTAGCGCTCTGGCGCTCACGTGCCGCCCGGGATGTGGTCCGCTGATTGTTGTGTGTCGTTATCCGGGGCAGTTAGCCGCGATAATCAGCGCTAATGTAGTGGATGAATCACCGCTGGCGGGCGGTCGATGCCTGATGGGTGAGATGGGGTGCGTTATTCTATGGTACACGGATATTTTAATCTGTTTACGCTACCTGCATGACGTGCCTGTTTCTGACTCATACAGCGTCTATCGCTCAGCGCTGTAAGATTGAAATACTGAGCAACAGCTGCCCGCTATCGCTAAAGACATCACAAACAGGATCCCATCTCTCTCCCCACTGCACTTAGATACCATCTCAGACACCATTCCAGCCAAGGTTGAAGGTAGCTCGTTGATAGCTACATAACACAACTTGCAGTTCGCCCTCCCCGCGCGCAGCAGCCAGCACCGACTCCTCACCTCTCGGTTCCCGCCCGGCCCGCTCTCAGCCTGGCAGCGTCTCCGGGTCGGACACAGCCCCCCCAGTCAGTCGTAACTCATCCACCAGACCGACAATGACCCGGGATGGAACGCGGCGACGGCCCGGCGCGGACCCCAGTGCGCCTAAACGGTAGTTAGAGCGCCACAATGACTGACATTTGCATCTGAGCGGGCGCTGCGGCCAGCCCCGAGTCGTTAGCTGGGCAGTGATAGTAATTTGTACCTCATAACCCGCGCCGGTACAGCTCACACCGTTTTACAAACGCACGCTAGGCTGAGAAGGAAACGATGCACTGAGGAGAAAACACACAGACTTCATGATGAGATCGACCTACGAAGCGCGTGCCCCCAATTACTTACAGGGTAAGTGATTCAACCTAATTACGTGCAGGGTAATGAGATGTGTACCAAAAAAAAAATGAATGCCAATATCGATAATCAGAAGCATTGAAGACCATAGACTGTAGATGTAACTATAACTTCAAACCAGCTGCATGAAATACGACAGAAAATCAAAACTGAGCGGCATGATCCGTAAGGTGAAAAGTCATACATCACAAAGACATGCATCTTGAGCACGTCATCTTTATATAACCACAAAGAAGGTCAAAAGCGGTGAAATCAGCCACCCATCCCGTGCAGCAGTTCAGTAGAGCGTTGGGATTCACGATGATTAGAGCCCGAGTTTGAGTCACTCCGGTGCAGCGTTGCACATATGGTCTGGAGACTGGCTGGGGCTGATATGTGATTCGTGCGGAGGAGCCGTGGTCTGGTGAAGGTAGTCAGCGGCATTCACTGCGTTCGGCTCTGAAGGCAAGCTAAATTTTGGCGTCAAACCTCCTCCGACAAGGGCGAGACTAAATGCTTACTTCGAAATCTAAGCTGCGTTGCGGCATTGGCGGTTATGTGCGGCGTGTATGCCGCATGATTAGTAAGCGGCGACCACTAAATTAAAAACTCAATAGCTTTGACCTGTTTTCAATGGATAACACTGCATATCAAAAATGTCCATCGCTCTCGTCATAGGATATTTAGATTTAAATAACTAACTTATCTACATCATTGTTTTGAACCAAATTAATACTCAGCCGCGAACGTATAAGGTATAACCCCTTGCCGTTTCGCTCCTGATCAAGCTACAGCTTCGCGGAAAAAACGAGCGTGTTGCCCGTGACGGGAGAAAGCCGATGATACCCAATTTTAAGGTCCTAGGTCATCGGTTGACCTTCCAGGTCAGGTCAATGACCCAAAAGGCGGGAAAATTGGGACCTGTTAGAACGTCGTAGTGTGGCTGCTATGGGGTTTTTCGGGGTGCTGATCAAGAATATCATGCTAGTTTTGATCACAGATGATGTCTTCATTCATTTAGGTCAGGTCGGGTTAGGTCAGGTCAGGTCAACCAGTAGAGGTCCTGCCAGGTATTTGTAGTAGGTGTCAACCGCCTCTGGGGTCATGAAATTTTCAGGGTGGGTGTTAAATTGATCAATGCGAGGGTACTGAAAGTTTCGTCGCGATCAGCCGCTTTTTAAGCGAGTTATTCGCGAAAAACCTTAGGGGGGTTGCATCAACCCCCCCCCCCCTCTGTGCGGGCGAGGTCATGTTTTGATAGCAAGACTGAAACAGACTTTTTTGGGTAGCCAGGAAATCGCATGCCAGAGCCTATTCAAATTCTTTTATCGGCCTTTATATGCACCAGTCGCATACAGGTACGGGATTTAGCATACGATTTCCAGACAATCGAAAGACTGTTTGTAGCCAACAAAGGAAGGAATGAGTGAGTTAAGTTGAAAGTATTAATTTGGTTCAAAATGATGATGTAGATAACCTAGTTATTTAAAGCTAAATATCTTATGACGAGAGCGGTTGGCATTTTTGGTATGCAGTGTTATTCATTGAGAACCGGTCGGAGCGTTTGAGTCTTTAATTTAGTGGTCGCCGCTTACTAATCATGCGGCATACACGCCGCACATAACCGCCAATGCCGCAACGCAGCTTAGATTTCGAAGTAAGCATTTAGTCCCACCCCTCCGACAATCCAGAATTATTTAATGATTTCCGATGTTCAGCAAGAAAGGCGAACTAAAAAATTGCATAGACTCGCGCATTAAGCATGCATAAAGATAATCTAGGTTCCTAAGACAGACAGTCATGCGCTATTGGATGATCTTAAAATGAAATTCAGCATCCTTGCAATCAGCTCATTCGTCACCCAGCATATCCATTTTTATATGTGTAGCGAATGATCGTTTAATAAAAGGGCTTTTATTAATTTCACTCATTTATGCAGACCTGTATTAAATGTTGTGAGTTAATGAGCGTGAGTAGGTACACGTATGCCGAATGCCGATTCGTTGAGCTCGTCTGGTAGTCGGTACCTACGTCATCTCAGTTGAACTATGACTCATCTAAAACATTGACAATTTTGACAAATATGAAGTGTTATTGCACTCAATGAAATGCATGAACATTCAATGTCTACCTCGAGCTGCTTATTCAATGCCGTATCAAAAATCAATAGCAATGATGAGCAGATGCTCGAAGGCATTCGGAGGACGTTAATATCACCTACCAGCTAAGTATGATAGTGCAATAATTGTTACCTATACACTTAACTGCATGGTTCACTACACGATGCACCCAAAGGGCTCCCGCAGTGATGTAGGGGCAAACATTGAATCCCAATGAAGCATTCCCATTGTCCAACAGCCAAAGTATGTTTGCATATTTGCATGGTGAGCAAATGCCAACGAGGCTCATTCAGAATCAGGTCGGTCACAACATAATGCTGACCACTGATAGAGAAAAGTGTGTAATTCAACGCCCGAATAAACACTGTCCAGTGAATGCATCGCTAGTCCGAATCGCTACTACCACTAATCATTCAGGGTATCAATTGGCTGCCATCGCGGCTGTTAGGTCGTTGTGACACATGAAGCATTTATAATCGCCATGACCATACCGCAAGACACCGTCCTTTCGTCCGGCTCACGGCTGCCCCATTGAGCGCTGGTAGTTTAGGTAGCGCTGGTCGCTGGAGCAGGTCGGCAGACTGTACAGTTGGTTTGGCGGCGTGGTGGACCGTGGACTATAGGTATACGCCAAGGCCGTATACCTTTAGCATGACGCCCTCCCCTCGCCTGTAGCTCCCGCCGCTCCCGCCATTGTCATGGACCTCTGTTGTGCTCCCGTCCGATCCCCTACCTCCGGCTGGTCGACCCCAAGATTACTTTATAGTCGAGTCGACCCAAGGCTATGGGTCGACCGGTCACCGGGGGAGCGGCCCTGCCTCCCGCTCCGTTTTAACCCTTTCGAATGAAAAAGTTTTATGTAGGAAATGTATTCCTCACTTTTGTCAAGTTTCCTTTGTAAGCATGTTTTTACACTAGATGCCGGCAGCGCTCGTGCGTTGCCTTGGGCCAGAATTGGAGGGTATGGACTGCAAAACCAACTGAAACATCCATGAAATGCTTGAAAGCACGTGAGATTCGTGTGGAGATCTACCTACAGTAAGATATGAATTAACTGCACGTGCATAGTTCATGTCCCAGGCACCACATTGCAGGCATTTTCATAACATCCTGTAGCGTGTGTCTAGTTCTATCAGTGTACCGACTTTTGTGTCGCTAGCTCGACGTTTCCCGGGATCAGAGGATCCATCGTCAAAACCGTTATCCGCCCCCCGCACGCGCAGCTTGCACCCCTCGGATATTATCTCGCCGGAATGTCATGATCAAATGTATTCTTCTTATGACCTGCAAGTTTTGAACCAGTTAGAGCTGCCGTTTACCCTGCAGGCGTGGCAACGTACGAGGGGGTGCAATCGGCTTGCACGTGCATAGCTCATGCACCACAGAGTTTAGCTCAACCAAATGTGCATTATTTTGAAGGCCTTGCCTGGGACTACCATTGAACCGATTTTGAGGTTGATAGCTTAAAATTTCTTTGAGCCAGAGGACCTCACGTCAAAACGGTTTTCCGACCCCAGCACGTGCAGCCTGCACCCCTCGCAGACGGTGACCCCCCTGGAAACTGGTTCAAGGTGTTACCGATGTGTCCCGCCAGTATGGCTTTGCCCGTGACCTCGGGTTGTCCTGTAGCCTTGACAAAAAATTTCGTGTCACCGAAACTTTGAAGCGGAATAGCATGTGCCACGAAGCACCGAGCGAGCCGAGGCCAGCACCAAAAGTTTACCTCGCCGGAGACGAGTCGAACGGTCCCACTTTCGTCCCGATCGGTCCACCCATTTTGACTCCAGGTCCAAAAAAGCTTGGACAAACTCACTCACATACTCACTCACATACTCACTCACATACTGACAAACAGGCTTGGCCGAACTTTTCTTCAGCGACCCACCAATGGGAATTTCCGGATGCAAAAGCATGCTATCGCATGCTTTTGGTCCTCCAATTCTGGATCACTCACATACTGACAAACAGGCTTGGCCGAACTTTTCTTCAGCGACCCACCAATGGGAATTTCCGGATGCAAAAGCATGCTATCGCATGCTTTTGGTCCTCCAATTCTGGATTAGGTCTTCTCAGGCATATTTAAAGTGTAGGTTTTTAGATGACGTTGTCGCGTGTTTTGTATTGTATGTGATTGTCGAACTACGAACCGAAACTTTGTGCGCCATTTCACCGATGAAGGTACCACAACGAGTACCGAAATATCTGAATAAATGTAATATTTGTACTTATACTCTTGAACAACTCCGAAAAAACATAAACATTAATTACATATAGTCCTGAGGAAAAGTTTTTTAATCATGACACTCAAGTCATATCTCAATATACTTGTCATTTCGTACGGTAGAAAATATAAGTATTGTCTCAAGAGCGTCACTTATGTCAACAATGCTTGGTTTATTGCGTTGTGGTGTCTTGTGAGTTATATTGGTTTATTTATAGTCACCGTGTTGCAGACGACTCACGATTGTTGCAGAAAGAGCGAAAATACGTTGCATTGCACGCAGTTGTCGAATTTGTATGTTATCACCAAGCTATCACTAAAACTTTGCTGGCCTACAGAGTGGGAAAGTGAAAGAGAGAAGTAAGATAAAACGTCAACATATAGGTGTAAGGTGCGCACTGCGCATGGTGCAATATAAATTGAAATTGAAGTAGGGGGCGGCTACTCAAGACAAAGAGGGCCTACTTGGGCGGGCAGCTTCTGCCAACATCAGAGGTGAGTGCTCATGCTTTGGTTTGTTCATACTATCCAAGGCTTAAGAGCTCCATAATGCATTTCATGCTCAAAACAACTGCCGCACTCGGCACTCTCCACACATGGCGCATAAGCTTAACCCGGCAGTTGCTGGGGTATTTCGCCACCCACCGTTTGCTGGGGTATTTCGCCACCCACCGTTTGCTGGGGGGGGGCGTTAAATGCCCCCAGCCGATAACTCGAGAACCAATAGGTGCAGGGAAACGCACACGGCAAATGAAAGAACGCGACGAGACGCTTCAGATGAGTACTTTAAAGTTGAATTTTGAGGTCACAGGTCGGGTCAAGGTCAGGTCAAACACCTGAAATCGGGCTTTCAGTAGCACGGACTTCAGGACTTCGTAATGGGCGCCTCTCGTCATTAAATCTGTCAAAACGGTGCACAATCCATCATATAAGGCCTAAAATAGTGTCAGCTCCATGTAGGGGTCAGTCAAGCATAGGTCAGGGTCAAGGTAAGGTCAACCGGGTAGGCAAATATCCCTGAAAATCAAAACTGATATTTGCAGCCTGTTACACATGTTTTGTGGGTAATTTGGGGCGTAGAACACGATGGTGACATTCATGTTATCATATGTTTACGTGTTTGGCTCAAAAAGTTCAATTTAAGAAATGCATGTAGGTATCATGGTCGTGAAGTAGTCACGAGAAATTGCCCAGATTCAGTAAAAGATTTTGGAAAATGCGGAACGATAATCAATAATCGAAGATAGCCATTTGATTGTTCATGGTATTGGGAGTCTAATGGCGTTTACAGCGTGTCTGTATGTCTATTCTGTGATTTTATATGATTTTTTGAACATATGCCGTTTTTGGTCGAAAACTCAGAAATCATGACATCACCAAAACCTCGATATCTCAAAAAATTTCCGGCCGATTTTTTTGAAACTTTGTCACAATAAACTTCGATCAATTTCCTACAGGTACTCAAAATTTGGCGCGCCTGCGGCATGCCGTTTTTATGCTATGGCCCGGCGAAAAAGTGGGGGTGTTTAAGCCCCCCCCCAGCAACTCGCGGGTTAAACGTGGCGTCGTTCCTGTAGTTTCCTTGTTGGAAATACAGTTGATATAATTGTGAAAATTGAAAATAATTGTCCATTTCAATATTTTGATTTTCATAATGGTTTCCACATCATTTAGCATGGAGAAGTAGATTTTGACTGTAGAAAATGCCTTAGGTACCTAATGTAACATAATAATGTGTGGTTGGGTGTTAATTTTTTCAGTTTTTAAAGGTTGCAAAAGGAGGAATCATGGTAGTAGTAAAGCTGGCTAACCAATGCAATGGTGATAGGCTGCAGGTCAGCCAATGCTTAAAATCACTGCTTAGTTAGTGCTTAATATAGTTAGGAAGTGGTAAACTGCAAAAGTGGTAATAATTGGGAATGATCATACCTTTCCTCCACAATTTTGCAACTGGAACAGCCCTTTGCAACATAAGAAATGTTCGTCCCAGATTAAAAGATATGTTTCGTTAAAAATTGTTGATACAAATCTTGTTTTTGGACAGCTGACGTGCTCAATTATAAAGCTACCACCATTTGATGCCCAACATGCCTATTGCTTAGATTCACTGCCATTCATTATTCATATGCTCCTTTTGTGCCCAATTTTGGTTATGTTCAATTTCATTTTCTGTTTCAATCAGCAGCTTGTTGTTTGTTGCTCCATTTATAGCAATTTTACCATGCAATTTTGTGAGTTGATATTCGTTTTTGCAATTTAAGCTTATGTCCACTGCAATGTTTGCAGCAATGGAGGCCTGCACAGCTGTAGAGAAGGAGCTAGACAAGGTCTTTGAGAAGTTCAGAGACCTCGATAAAGAAAATCAACGAAAGGTGGAAGAGATCATCAACAAAATCGAAGAATATGTGGCCACCCTGAATGACAGTAAGTACCTACCTTGTTGGTGTGTAATCAGGGATGCGGAGCCGTGGAAATTTCAGACGGCTCCGGCTCCGGGTGAAATGTCATGGCGGCTTTGGCTCCGGCTCCGGCTCCGACTCAGTGCATCCCCTATGCGATCAAGTAAATACGGATGGAAGTCGCAGTCCACTGCACTGGCTTCAAAACAATTACCGTCACCTGATAACCGGTCCTTAGGTTATGGGGTTGCAGTAGACGTGGGGAGGGAGGAGCAGACAGGATGTTAATTGCGTACTGTGGGTCGTAGGACGCTGGGGATACGTATTCAGCTTTTTTCATTCACGTCGTGATGACCCATGTCTTACCCACTACATGTTTTACTGCCTTATACTGTCAAAACCAACTAGGTCAATTAACTTTTTTCCTCTTCAAAAAAAAAAGAACCAGAGTCTTCTTTGACGTTTTCTTTGACCCTTTCTTCGCCCCTTTCTTTGACTTCTTTGACGTTCTGGGACGTTTTTAAGTTTCACGGAGAGTTCCTGAAAATGCACATGGTACACCCCTTTTAGACGTGTGTAATGATTTTCTCCGAACGTCCCACCTGCCCGATATCCGTGTTTGGTGACGGCGACTGTCAGATCAGTGCCGTAATGTGCCTGGTGTATGCTTTTCCTCGCTGTTACAGGTGACGGTGACGGTCAGATCAGTGCCGCCAAGGCCGTGAAGATTATGGAACTGCTGGCCGAGGCCCGGGCTATCGCCACAAAGGCCTCCACAGGCCACAGAGAGCTGCACAGCACCGTCTCCAAAGTCGGAAAGGCCATCGACAAGGTGTGCTCAGTAAAAATATATCTGTGAATAAAAGCTATGTGTCAGGCTTTTATTTTCTTTTGCCGTATTTTTTTGTGAAATCTCTGGCTTCTTAGTAGCCAAGCTATGGAGAATATTAACTATGAATTGAGAATGTTGAGTGTTGTAAAGAGAGCACAAGAAGACGACACTTAAGTACATCTAAGCTCTTCCTGCAACTTTTACTCTTTGTCATCGTGTCGTTGACTTCACAGGATATATTCACGGCCTATTATTCGTATTACCCCATGCAACCCTTCTCACGTGTTTCAGAATTTCGCGGCCGACTACTCGGTAGCCGCTCTGAACCCCGACTTCGCTACCTCCGAGCGAGACGCCAAGCTGGTGAACGAGGTGATCTGCCGGCACTTTTACCGCACCGGTCTGCCGGAACTGGGCGCCCTCCTAGTCCAGGTGAGGTGATATGACCGTGTGCTGTTCAAGGTAGGGCGGCGCGATACGGGTGGGGCTGATGGGTGTGTGTGTGTGGGGGGGGGGGGGGGGGCTGGGAACAGAGCTTGTAGCTCAATGAGTCGGATTTGTGAGGCATTTGTAGCTAGACGCACTCTTTCGGTTTATGCTCAAATTTGTAGTGAGATAGGTACTCGAAAGTCGCGACGTCCTCATACAATAAAGTGGTATTTGACAAAGATCGAGCTGTTTAGTTAGGAGCTGAGCTCAGTTCTCAATGGATATCTGTCATATATGTACCTAAAAGTACTTCCTGACGTGGCCTGACCTGACCTGACCTGTGCCTCTCTGACCGTCAGTCGGCCCAGCTGGAGAACACAGAGTCGGTGGTGGAGCCCTACATGGTGATCAACAGTATCGTGGAGGCTCTGCGGCGCAGGGACCTGGGCCCAGCGCTCTCCTGGGCCGAACAGCGCACCGACCAGCTCCATCAGATAGTGAGTATTTGAGTTCCTTGTAATACCTGGGGTAGCGTCAAAGAGGCGTACGTCGAGATACGTCGAGATAGCTGACGCATGTGGGATGGAAATGTGAGAAACATAAACTAATAATTGGTCGGTGAACGTAATAGTGAAGTTGAAAGATGGACAGACACTAGAAATGCCAGAGATAGAGAGGACGGGAGATGAATAAGAGCCTTAGTTTATGGGTAGAGTGGACTGAGGCTGTTAGTCCTCGTTAAAGGCTTTTGAAGCAGAAGGCTAGAAAGGGCTGTTAACCCGCGCCCCGCTGGGCTATTCAGCCATACGCGCCCTGCTGGGGGGGGGGGGGGGGGCAGATTCTGCCCCCCCCCCTGTCTAACTTCCGAACCGATGGTCGTAGAAAGACGGGGAAAACGGCAATCGAAAGCTCTCAACAAGGCGGATCTTAAGAGCCCAAATTTTTTTGCTTAAGTAGGTCAGAGGTCAGGTCAAGGTCAGGTCAAGGGTACAAAATGCAAGTTTCTACAGTATCGGCCTTGCACCGTAGTTGCCGAAGAATAGACTGAGACTGATTGCCCAAAACGTGTTCTTAGACTACCAAGACAATATTCGTTGCACACAATGTCATTCAAAGGTCAAGGTCAAGGTCAGGTCAGGTCAGGTCACAAAAAACAAAATATAGAAAAGGGCATGTGCGACACATGTTTTATGGGTCATTTTACTCATGGAATTCAATAGGCACACTCAATAAGTGATATGGACCACCTCTGGATGAATTTCAGGTCGAGGTCAGGTCAAGGTCAGGTCAAGTGAGGTCAAATTTTGAAGTTGGTTGTTAAGGCCTAAAAAGGTGTCTATCCGATGCAGTTTTTCACGGCGAATCGAATGATGCTATTTTTGTTTCCGTACGAGGTCTAGAACTTCCAAAAAAATCATTTTTCAAAAAAATTGTGTGTCGTGACGTCATAAAATTTTGAATAACTCCCACATTTTTGAACCGATTCTTCTCAAAATTGGTATGTAGGTGCACATTGACCACTTCTTTGACATATATTCCGGTTTTTTCGATAAACTCAAAATTTTGGATTTTATAAATATTTTCCCAAAAAAGTCAGTTTTTTTGAAAAATTTTGGCCAAAATCCAAAATTTTCAAAAAACCGAGATAGCCATTTGATAGACAAAGTAGAATCACGTATAACCTTTTTTGTTACGTCTTGATTCCTTTGAAAATGAAGAAGTTAGCGGCATTTGAAATTTTGCCGTTTTTGAGGCGAAAATGGCGAACATGACGTCACTAAAACGTCAATTTCTCAAAAATTTTCCGACGGATTTCGCTCAAATTTTCAGGGAACGTGTCAAATTGATGTATGATAAGGTACTGAAAGTTTGACGTCGCTGGCGTAACGCGTTTAGAAGTTATTGGCGAAAAACGGGAGGGGGGGGGGCAGATTCTGCCCCCCCCCCCAGCGGGGCGCGGGTTAATTGGTTATTCAATCTAGGAGGTAGTCTTAGCGTCTCGTTTGATAAATAACTCGGAACAAGGATCACAACCCGTCCAGTTGTAACGTCCCCTCCCGCTCGTGTGCTCCCCAGGGCAGTTTCCTGCTGTTCCGTCTACAGAAGCTGCAGTACACCACGCTCCTGCAACAGGGGAGGGTGAAGGAGGGTATCCTGTACGCCCGACTCCACTTTGGCCGCGTGCTGCAGGCCTACATCGACAGAGAGGGTGAGATATGTGAAATGAGTACATTGATAGAGGGGATGAGTTCTATGAAATGAGTACATTGACAGGGAGTGAGAACTGGCCTACATTGACAGAGAGGGTGAGTGGGCAGGGGGAGGGCAAACTGGCGTAGTTACGGGAAGGGCGAGCACTGCCGGTGCGGGTACAGGGTGGGTGAGCATTGCCGGCGCAGTTACAAAGATAGTGAGCAGTTCAGCACTGCCAGCGGAGTTTCAGCTGGTGGGCGAGGCCCGCTCGCTGACCCGCCCCCTCCAATTCCAGAGATCCACACGTTGGTTAATTTCGCTCAGTGATCTTCCCTCCCTCTCCCTCCAGAGATCCACACGCGGCTTGTCGGCGAGATGCGCTCCCCTGATGTTCCCTCCCCTCTCTCCCTCCAGAGATCCACTCTCAGCTAGTCGGCGAAGTCCGCTCCCTGATGGGCGCTCTGGCGTACGTACACGTCGGCCTGGAGAAGTCGCCGTACGCGCCTCTGACCAGCGACAGTCTGTGGATCGAGATCTGTGACCTGTTCACCAGGGATGCCTGCGCGCTGCTCGGTCTGAGCGTCGACAGCCCGCTGCTGGTCGTGTGAGTATGGGAAGTCTGTGCTTCGGTTCTGTTTTGCATTCTATTAAAAGCTGACATTTTGTTAGTCGTGTTTGGGCTATTAGTCAGGTGTCTAATAATTCAACACTCGACTTCAATGCGTGTGCAATATTGCGTTAGCATGGAAGAGTGTGTGGCGGGGATGCTCGTTTCCCTTGAGTGTTGCTTGCAACTATCCCTAATCCACAACTGTTGTCACTCACTTGTCTTTCATTCTTCCTTCCTGCGCGCTCCCTCAGTGTTTCACCATGTTCTCTGTGACCTGTCCTCAGAGTGAACGCCGGCGCTAAGGCGGTGCCGCTGCTGATGAACATGAAGCAGGTGATGCAGCAGCGTCAGGTGGGCGGCATGTGGAGCTCCAACGACGATCTGCCGGTGAGTGCTCGTTAAAGTGCGTCGGTCCGGGGGAGCTGGTCCGCAAGGACGCGCCGCTGTGGTTACGGGTGAACTGTTTTAGTCACTGCCTGCTGACAGAGACCCGATTGTTTATCGACGTTTGGTTCGATTATGCGGGCAGTTTTGTGTAGTTAAATGGCAGCCTCTTTCGTATTGATTTGTCTAGCCTTGTAAGATTTGCTTCATCCCACTAGGCTGCTTTTCATCGGGAAATAATGTTTTACCATTCCGAGAATCTGTATCCACTTATTGCAACTAACTCAAAGAAACTATCGTTATTGCCATAACAAATCCGCTTGTTCATCTGACCGTCCCTACCGCCGTTCTCTCTCTGCGACAGATCGAGATAGACGTGGACCGCGAGTTCCGCTTCCACAGCGTGTTCGCCTGTCCGATTCTGAAGCAGCAGGCCACCGAACAGAACCCCCCAGTGCGACTGGTGTGCGGTCACTGCATCTCCAAAGACGCCCTGCACAAACTCAGCCACGGAAACAAGTGAGTAGAGGGACTGGACGGGGGAGGGGAGCCGTGTTTGTGATGGGCGCTGTGGTAGTGTTCACGGAAGGCGAAAGGGGAGAATGGTATCACATTAAGTGTGGCGACTGGGGATGTTTATTTTGATATTGTGTCATGGCCTAGCTATTAAATGGTATTGCGAACTGCTGCTTCCACGGAAATCATGCTTGGAGATGATTTTCTTGTTTGTCGTAGGGTAGGTTGGGGTAATTTGAACATGTGGGGCAATTTGAACATAGTGTGAAAAACACAAAATTACGGAAAATCCATAAGTGGCATGACAATAAGATGAGGGAAATCATCGTAAATAAAAGGGCTATCATATGAACGGGGTTTAAGGTTTCAGGGAATGAAGATGTTGACGCACACTGTAAAAAATCAATTTCGGAAGTAAAAACACCTAAAAACACGTCATTGCAACTTCATTGCAGCGCTCTTGCATTGCTAGCGCCTAATACGCAACGGCTTTTGTTGTACAATGACCTAATCAGTGCCTTCAATCCAATAAATTTGCTTTTGAAACCTGTTTTTAAATATGACAAAATAACTTTTAGCGTGAACATAGTGTAAGAATTTCAGTGAAGACAGGGATAGCTCCGAAAAAACAACGCTCGCAGGTTTTTTTTTTGCCAATATTTTCGACCCAAAGCAGTAGCAGATTAGTGATGCCAGTTTTATAAAATTTACGTCTAATACCCGTCTAATGTCCGGCATTTTCGTTGATTTCCGTTTAAAAATATTAAAGTCAGCCATTTGTCCAAATATGTCCGAAACTTACGGATTAATTAACACTCAAAACTGTCATTTAAATTGCTTATAATGTAATATTACCAGCGGAAAAGTGTTCATTATATTGAGAGCTTAACAAGCTTTCCATTCGCCAATCAATGCTATGCACGATTACTTTATAAAAAGCGCTGAAGTGTAGCAAGCCATCGTCCAATGTTGTCCAGTCTGCTACCTTTGTCCAACCGATTCCGAATTGGACATTGTACAAAATCAGAACTCCAAATGTCCAGGTTTCGATTGGCACCAATAACAGATGCAGTAAGGTTGGGAGAGTTTTTATCGAACAAAAAAGATAGCCGTTCTGTTAATTGAAGAGAGGCGAATTCTGTCAACTGACCGGTGTGCAGCGTGCAGATATTGATACTCTGCAACTGTTATTTTTGTTGTTGTGTTGATTTTTCAAGTGAAGGTTTGTTTAGAATTGTTCTGCCTATTTGTTTATGGGTCAAACAACATCGGTGCCGGCGAGACTATCGTTTTTATGCCAGGTAAAGGCAGTATGTTCAAATTACCCCACAGTGGGGCAATTTGAACACACCGTGACTTGGTGGAGAAGTTAGGCTATGCTATTCAAGGTATGCTCGGCTCGTCCAAAAATGAGGCTTGCATGGTGAAAGCAAGTGACACTTGCGCTTTTTTCTTCATCCAAGGTTGAGCTGGAATTTGGTACAACGGAGAAGACGTAAAAATATGTTCAAATTGCCCCACACTACCCTATAATGTGAAACACTTATTTAACGTGGTTTGTCGTTTTTTGAACTTTTCTATCCCAAGTCCGCATGTATTTTGTCGGATATCTTTAAAAGTAATGCGTATATCCCGTAGCTCATACCCGTCTTATCTGCATTTCAGGCTGAAGTGTCCCTACTGCCCCATGGAGATGAACACAGCAGACGTCAAGCAGATCTTCTTCTGAGCGCCGCTCTCTTCGCGATCTCATCATCTACATCCAGTAGGCGCCGTCTCTCTTATCCATCGCTTCACGCCTCCCTCCCATCATCAGTCGTCACTACGAACCCCGCTGGCTAGTAGTGCCCGCTAGTGCCCGCGTAGTGAGTGCGCCAGCGCGCAGTAGTGCTCCGCGGTTTAGAACGGCCTACTATACACGCTCAGGCATGCTGTGTGGGCTTTGGGTGCCTTTCAGTAGACTAGTGCGTATTAGTGGGCTTTATGTGGGGCAGTACGGTGCTATGTAGTTTGTCAGATAACATTAGTCATGCTATAGATTCATGTTATCTATGATTCTGCATAAGCCGTGCTGAGCACCATAGCACACTAAACGCACCGTAGCACGTTGTACTACAATGTCGCTGTGCTACGCAAAGAACTAGCTACTGTAAGAAAGGCCTGAAACATGCAAGATATGATACAATAAGCACCATACAGTACTCTAAGCTGGGGCGAACCGCACCGGCCTTCGCTACACGAATGACTACTGCGCTGCCCTCTGGTGGCCGTCGGACACAGCTCTCACTCGTCCCACTGGCTATAGGTGACGCGCAGATCGCGGTCGGCTTTGTGTTGAGAGCAGAGTAGCTCTGTCATGTGGCGGAGTCTGGTATGGTTGACCAGCTGTGGCTTTGCGGCTGAGGATGTGAATCCGGTCAGGGCCGTGGCTGGTTCGCAGCAGGGTCATCTTGCTGTCCGAAGCGGTGCCAGAAGGCAAGGTCGGTGTTGGAAGTGTCCGGTCTAGCGAAGGCTTGCATCCTCTGGGTCTGAAACTGTTCAGACACTGCATTCGGTATTCATGGCAGGCGTTATAAGGCAGGAAAGGTCCAGGCAGCAAAGGTCCTAGGTAATTTCTAATGTGAGCTGTGGGAGCATTGCACGTTAACCGTGGAAGCTCTGCCGATCTGGCGGTCAGGTGCGCCCAACTACTCGCTTTCATGTGTATGATAATATCTGTACAGTATCTTCACTTCACCCATGAGGAGCGCACGACTCGGAGTGTTGGTTGGGTTGCCCCGATCCCCAGGGGTCGTGACGCGTGAGCTGTACTTATTTAACCTGGCGGGGTTATCCATGGGTAGATCCATAACCGAAACTACGCCGAGGACGCTTTATCGAGCGAGAAGTGTGAATTGCCCTAGGACAGACGGCAGAGTCCGTGGAATGTGTTGTCATTGTTCTGTACATGCGCTATCGGGTTCAATTTGTAATAAACCAGTATTGAATATCCGACATTAGATAATGTTTGCGTTGCGATGTTACCAGGTCACGGCTACTGTATGAAACGAAACGTTTCAATGAATGTCATGTGCGGACGCCTACTAAAGCGGTACATAACTTCTACCCTTGCAAGACAGATGCACTTTGTGCCTAAGCATAAAGGTGTAAATGCTTTTGCTGACCCAATCATGAACTGAGTCATGGCTGAAAGGAGGCCTATCATACGCAACACCACGCATTTCTCTTGTGTCTACAACAAAGTGTTATTGATTCTTTCCCGTAATTCTCAATTGGCCGTAACCCTTCGATCATTATGCAGAAGACGACACAGATGAGAGCACTCAACGTACAGCAATGCCCAGGTGGTTCTCATATGTGAAAGATAAAGATGATCCACGTGTCCTGAGTCCCTGACTTGCGATGCCGCATAAGTGGGAATTGTTGAGAATTAAACTTCCATCGACGGAAGAGCTAACCTCGTTCATTGTCGTTCTTCTACGGCACGGCTAATTATTTTACACCGATATAAGTGTGGGACGACTGTTTGCGATTTGTCTGAAAACCAATGATGTCGTGAGGTGCTATAAACCAATGCTCGTGTTTCTTTCAAGCGGACGTGAAATAATTTTGACATGGCTCTGGCTTGTGTTGAGTGCGTTGATAACCTTTTCAGTTTTTGGTTGTCAACTTATTGTTGGTCTCAGCGTCGTCCTAACCCACAATGACCCTTCTTATAGACTTATATGTGGGCATTGGTGTCACTTAGGTACTAGTTAGTTACTAATACGTATTAGCTTATTTTGATTACATCCTGGGACACGTATTCAGGATTTGTTGTCGTTACTGCCTAGTAGTGATGTCAATCGGAACTTGAATCTTCGTAATTCCGAATTTGTCCAATGTCCAATTCGGAATTCGGTTGGACAATGACAGCAGGCTTTGGACAACTTTGGACAATCGCTTGCTACACCTCAATTTTTTTTTAAATAAAGTAATCGTGTTTTACATTGATTGGCTATAAGAAAGCTCAGCTTTCGATATGATTATCACTTTTGAGCTGGTAACGGTACATTAAAAGCAAATTAATTAACAGTGTTGAGTGTAAACTATTGCGTAGGTGTCGGATTTCTGTTTGGACAAATGGCTGGCTTGGACATTTTTGGACGGACAGTCAACGTAAGCATTGGACATTGGACGGACATTGGACATACGTTTTTTGAAATTGACACCACTACTGCCTAGTGCTCTGCTTTTGTGGTTTGAATGCTGTTTGACACTGTTACTATTCATCTTCTGCTGTTCTGCAACATTCAAGCTGCGCTCCAGACATAAAACATTGAGTGCAGCCGGAAAAGTATATTTTATTACAACATGAAACTAAACATAAGCATGCCGAAAGCTGAGAGTTGAAGAGAGCTGAATTATTCAAGAGAAGTCCTCTTACAGCTGGATGGAGCCTCAAGTTTTACTCGTCGCAGACGGTGAGGTAGTCTCCCTGGCAGAGGGCCCAGTTGATGACGTGGTGGATGTAGTTCTCCTCCAGACTCCCACGCAGCAGGTGGGCGCCCGGACCGCGCGCGAAGATGCCCACGTCGTCTCCGCCGTGGGTCTCCTTGGGCAGGTAGATGCCGGCGAACTGTTTGTAGTGCGGGTCGCGCCACTCGGCGTCGGGGCCGGTCTCGGTGAGGGCGGCGCGCTTGGCGTCCTGCTCCTCCTTGCTGCGGGTGCCGCCCGGACCGTTAGCGTACTGCAGGATCGGGTACGGCAGGCTGGGCGGCGGGCCGCCCTTCTGCATACCGCCGGCCAGGAACGAGGCGGGTCCGTACATGTCCAGGCCGCGCTCCGGGTAGCCGTTGATCTTGAAGGTGTGAGCGTGATCGGAGGAGACGACGATGAGGGTGTCCGACTCGTCGGTGTTGTCCACGGCGTACTGGACGACCTCCTCGAGCTCGATGGTCTCGTCGATGGCCGTGTACGCGTTGCCGTAGTGGTGGCCGTGGTCGATCTTGGCACCCTCCACGAACATAACGAAGCCGTTAGGTCCGCGCTTCAGGATCTCCAGAGCCTTCTTCACCATCTCGGTCAGGTTGACGTCGTCGGGAGTCTGGAAGGCGCGATACTGCATGTGGCTGCGGCTGAACAGACCCAGCACGTAGTCGGCAGAGGTGGCGTCGAAGTTGTTCAGCTCATCCTTGGTGGTGAGGTAGGCATAGCTGCGTCCCAGGGAGGCCTGTTTGTCCTTCCACTCCTGGATCAGGTCACGGCCATCCAGACGGGAGCCACCCTCGACCTCCTTCGGCGTGAACTTGCCCCAGCCGCCACCGAAAGCGACGTTGATGTCGATTCCCTCACGCTCGACGAACTGGGTAGACAGATCCTTCATGGCGTTCTTGCACGAGTCCTTGACGGGTCCGGTCATCCATTCCATGGCGACGAAGTCGGCGTCCGACTCCCAGGTACGGTAGGCGGTGTGGCCGAAAGTGGCAGCGGGAGAGGCGTGCGTGATACGGGCGGTGGACACCAGACCGACCCACTTACCGGCCTCCACTCCGTAGCGGAGGATCGACTTAGGCGAGGAGGCCTCGTTGACAGCATCGCAGTTCCAGATGAGGACGGAGCAGTCGACACCGACCGTGAGGAAGTTGCCCTTGGCGCCGGTCAGGTAGGCGGTGGCCGTGGAGGCGGAGTCGGCCGTCCAGCGGTCGCAGTTGTACGTCTTGGAGAGGCCGGTGTACGGGAATTTTTCCCAGGACAGCGTGGTGTGCTCGGGAATATCAGCTCCGTGCAGCAGACCCTTCTGCTTCCTGGCGGCGGCAAGGGTGTGGATCGACATGCCGTCACCGATGAACAGGATGGCGTTCTTGGCCTGGTGGTGGTACACCTTGTCGTTCAGCTTGGTCTGGATGATTTCCTGGGCGATGCTCTTCCAGAAGACCGAGTCCAGCACCTGACCGGAACGGGAGAGCGAGGCGCCGTTGTTGAGGCCCATCTTCTCCTGCACCTCCTTGTAGGAGCCTCGTGCATCTCCAGCTCATCCTGGTCCTCGACCTGGGAGTCGAGCGGCACAGAGGCCACCAGGGCCAGGAGGGCGGCGGCCACGAACACCTTCATCCTGAGGTGGTGATGTCTGCCCGGCTGCAGACGCTGATGCCAATCGCTCGGCTCGTCTGTCTTTTATACCCCGTGTAATGGCGCGCATGTGTTCTCGGAGGACAGACAAGTGTGGACGCGACGGAATAGTCGGACAATTGCCGACTGTGGCCGATCTGTGGTTTAGTTTGATAATTGTTCATGGGTCAGATGTATTCGATTAAGGACAAGTGTTCATAGTTTGGAAAATCTTCGGCCCCATCAAGTGCGCTGATGGTTTGCGCTATTAATACAGATAAGTTTGTACGTAATAGGAATAAAATGATTGGAAAATAGTAAGAATTGAGAGAAACAAGGAATTATGGCTGGAGCGCATAGTCATATCAATTACTGTGCGACACCCGTTTATGTTACTCAGGAGGTCTCTTCTCTACTCAAGGGTCAGGATCTGACCCTGGGATTCAGCTTATGTGAACTAATACTCGAGACACCTATACATCTCGCGCATCCTCTTGACTTTATTATGTCTTTCGGTAGCTTTTTCTGTCTGTTGTACACTATCGATTGTCTTTTTCTGCGCCATCCTGGCTCTTTCCGTTTATCATTTACGGCGTTGGGTATTGACACTACTGACTACGGTCGGGACTCGGGAAAACGCAAAATTTGAGTTTCGATTACCCGAAGAGGCCTGAGGCCTCATTATTGACCCGGGGAAATGATGTCTATAAAACCTCTTGCAAATACTCTTTCAGGTAGGTACCTCGGATGTTTCTTCATCGTCTTTACTCGTTCTGGTTTAATGTCAAGGTGTGGCCAATTGCAATGTCCCGCCCTCCCACGGCCATGGCGAATTTGCTGAGACCCACAGGCCACAGCCGGGTGCGGTAAGGTGATTTTGTGACGGTAGGGTAGACCGGGGCAAAGCGCACCCCTTAAAGGGACTATCCCACCTTTAACATGGGGTTTGAGTTGAGATAGCCAAGTTTGCGGCGAGGTTCAGAAACCACTATCTATCTAGGTTGCAACCCCCGCGGCCTCTTGGTGTTGAAGAAATTCGTTCCCTTCATTTGAAAATGGGCCTTGTACAAGGCCCTATCTTCAACATGGAGCGACCGTTAGTGTGACGTCACCTCGTTTAGTCATTCTGATTTAAATGGGTTTGTTCGTTGAAAAATCGCTTAAAACTTGGTCTGAACTTTGTTGTGGTGCCTACAGAGTAAAAAGAATCAGCTTTATGACAGTAATGTGGCCTGGGGAAGGAGGTAATTTTGGGCTGTGACGTCACATATTTGAAAGTTTGTGTTTGGAATATGGGAAGCCTAAGATGTTTAATGAAAAATAAATGCCAGAACCGTGTTCCTGGTCATCCAATCTATAAAGTCGGGCACAATTTAACTGGTTTTAACAACATTTTAGAAGGTGGGATAGTCCCTTTAACGTTTGACTCGTAATAGGGAGGGGAATACATTAGGGGACAACGAAGGGCAGCTTAGCGCTTAATGTAAGCCGCTGGACATTTCAGTAGGCGGAACTATGGTCAAGCGTACCCATTTTCGGGAACGCATTTTCGTTCCCATGTTTGGGAACGGTAAACCCAAATATGGGAACGCCATGTAGGAATTATTTAAAACAAGAAAAAGAACCGTTAAATGACGTCAAAAAAATATAAAACGATCGTGAACCGCCTGATATTTGTCTCAATATTGTTGGGAAAGAGTTTGATATTGTAAGGCCCATCGTAGTTTCAAATCGTTCCCCTATTTCTAAAGCAGTCCATCATCCGGGCCGCGAACCCAAATTTGGGAACGCTCTCGTACACTGGCGCTGCAAGCGTTCCTTATTATGGGAACGGCGTACCCAAAATTGGGAACGATTTCACCGACGCCTTTCAGGGGCTCTTTTCATTAACAAGCATCATGTCC